CACTCCCCCCCAGCTCTCCCCTCTCCCCCGTTTCCTCACCACCTTCTCGGGGCAGTTCACCCGGGGCGTTCTCACGGTCACCTCGCCGTGCTGGGCACCGCCGGGGCCGTGCCAGGCCGTGCCAGGCTGCCCGGGGGGGCTGTGCCCGGCGCTGGCCGCCTCGCCCTCGCCCTCGCTCCGGTTGCCCACGGCCTCTGCCCGGTTGCCCACGGCCTCTGCCCGGTTGCCCTCGCCCCGGGTGCCCACGGCCTCTCCCCGGGTGCCCACGGTGTCCCCCCGGGTGCCCACGGTGTCCCCCCGGGTGCCCACGCTGCCCAGGCCGCTCGGGGCTCGGTCCTCGGCGCCCTCGGGGTTCGAGCGGGTGCGAGGCCGAACTTCTGGAAGCTTCTCCTCCTCGTCCTCGGCCGCGCTGCCCGGCTCCGACGGGTCCATCCTGAAACTGGGGGGGCTGGGACCCCAAAATCAGGGGGTTTGGGGTGCGGTGGGGCTGGGACCCCAAAATCAAGGGGTGTGGTAGGGCTGGGACCCAAAAATCAGGGGGTGTGCCGGGACTGGGACCCCAAAATCAGGGGGTGTGCTGGGACCGGGACCCCAAAATCAGGGGGTGCTGTGGGGCTGGGACTAAAAAATCAGCGGGTTTGGGGGTTCTCTGTGCCTGGGACCCCAAATCAGAGGGTCAGGGGGTTCTGTGTGCCTGAACCCCAAAACAGGGGGGTGCTGTGGGCTGGGACCCCAAAATCAGGGGGTGTGCTGGGACCGGGACCCCAAAATCAGGGGGTGCTGTGGGGCTGGGACTAAAAAATCAGCGGGTTTGGGGGTTCTCTGTGCCTGGGCCCCCAAATCAGAGGGTCAGGGGGTTCTGTGTGCCTGAACCCCAAAACAGGGGGGTGCAGTGGGGCTGGGACCCCCAATCAGCAGGTTTGGGGTGCTATGGGGCTGGGACCCCAAAAGCAGGGGGTGCTGTGGGGCTGGGACCCCCAATCAGCAGGTTTGGGGTGCTCTGGGGCTGGGACCCCAAAAGCAGGGTCCACGCACCCCCATTCTCCGACCCCCTTTCCCACGCCCCTCCCCCGCTCCACGCCCCCATCTCTTCCCGCCCTCCCTTCCCCCCCTCCCCCCAGAGCTCCTGTTCGCCCCCGACCCCCCAAAACCCCCCTGAA